AGTGATGCGAAACTTCAGAAATCGACTACAAATGTGTATCGCGAATGAAGGCCACCAGCTGGACGATATCATATTCAAAACCAATTGAAAATAAACTGTATTTCATGCACTTTTAGATTATGTAATAAAATTTTGAATAGCATTTACCATGCCTTTTTTGTTAACCTTTAAAATCTGGGAGGTTTTTCTGCTGTACCCTGTACCTGTGCTGTGTGGGGTCATGAAGACCGTTATTTTTGTAATATTCATGGTAAGCCTAGGATTCGTGCTTGAGCAGGGAGTTGAAAAGTGACAGGTTATTCAGGATCTTCTGTAAAATTTGCAAACATCAGTATGCTGCTGCGCCGAATCTGGCATGGAAACAGTCATTTTGCAACCAGGCGAAATTGGCGGAGCGATTCCAAGCACCTGCTACGGAACACTGCATCATCTAGCGACAGAGATTTCATTTCAAGTCCGAGGCGTCATAGAGCATGGACTGAGTCCCGTAACCACATGTATTGAAAAATGATAGTTTCGTTCTATGAAATGATAACCCTACCCTACCCCCACCCCCTTTCTTTTTTTTTTTATTTACAGACAAAACTGAAACAGATATAAAAAATGCAACGACACCCCAGCAAACAAGGCTACGTTGGACCAACGTTTTATCAACATCCCGAACGTTCATTCAATGTTGATACAACGTTATGTGATTCAAATTGTTTGCTGGGTGGGCTTAATTCCTCATGTTATTCTGCATAATGGGAACTTATTCCAGAACAAGGTACTTCCAACCATTTGCATTTCGAACAAAGAAAAGTCTGTCAGGGTATGATTTTAAGAGGGAGCAGATGACTTTTATTTCAGCAGCATCTTCTGCCACTCGAACAATTCCCGCAAGAGTGCAATCAGTCTATCGTATTTTTTTTTCTGTCAATGAGACAGGCAGGGTCGGCCTTAGGCCCGTGCTCCCGCGCAGGGGGCAAATACACCAGGAGAGCCAAAACTTGACTGAACGTATGAAGCAATAATGGATGCCACCCTCAGTTTTACATAAGAAATAGGAAATGCCTTCCGTTTCGGCATCACTTTGGACGCCAGGGATTAACTCCCATCTCCCTTTGGGGGGGGGGGGGGGGGGGGGGGGGGGGGGGTCTTTG